TGCTATCCATTCTGACAGCCAGATGGTGCTGAGGGTTTTTTTTAATAAAACACTTTGCTAAATAAAGTTTGTGTGTGTGTGTGTGTGTGTGTTACCCAGGGTCTTTGCATTGAGCTACATCTGTCTCTTTTTCTTTCTTCCTTCCTTTTTTTCCTTCCTTTCTTCTTTTTTTTTTTTTTAATTTTGAGGTCAAATTCTTACAAAATTTTTATGTTGCCCAGGCTGGACTTGAATTTGCCATCCTCCTGCCTCAACCTCCCAGAGTACTAGGATTACAGGCATATGCCACCATGCCCAGTTAAGAAAAAACATGTTAATGTAAATTCAAGGACTATACAAGTAAAGATTGGGCATAGTGGGGCTGGGAATTTACCTCAGTGGTTCTGCTGCCTGCCTCGCAAGCGCAAGGACCCGAGTTCAATCCCCGTGTACCAAAAAAAAAGATTAGGCGCGTAGTGTTACCTTTTGAAAAAATTTAAATCATAGAAAATGCAGTTGTTTACAATATTCCTCTTCTATATCCTCTTCATTTTGTAATTCTTACTATCATTTTTCAACTTTCTATTCTCCATTTCCCATAAATTATCTCTCATATTTTTTTCTTAGTGTGTTTTGTTCAATTTCCCCTGGATCTATCTTCGAGCACATTATTTCTTTCCTCAAGTGTATCTAATCAACTGATTATGCTCTTTAATTGATCCACTAGCTTTCAAAGTTTAAAGTTGCTATAATATGACCATATATAGTTAAATTACCATGCAAATACTATATTTAAATGAGTTTTATTGCAATGTAATTTATAAATCTAAAGCTAACTTTTTAAAATGTGCATTTCAGTGCCATCTAGTACATGCACAGGATTGTGCAACCCTCACCTGTTTTTGGTTCCAAACTATTTCAACACTGCCAAATGGAAACCCACACCCCTTAGCAGTCATTTCCTATTCCCATTAAAGCCAACCCTACCAAACACTAAGCTACTTTCAATCTCTGTGGATCTCACTATTTCTGATGTCTCATAGAAATGTACTCATACAATACATGGTCTTTTAGGAAAGACCAGATAGGAAGAATGAGGCCTAATTGGCCTCCTCGGTGAGCACTGGGAAGAAAGAGGGCATGCAAGCATGCTAACTTGCTGCAGGAAAAAGTAAAAACACCTGAGATTAAGTTGTTCACCCAGAGAAGTACCGTGGAGGGTGGGAGACAGATGAATTCTGTGAAACCCTATTTGCTTGTGCCCGTGTCTGAGTGAATAAAATCAAGGTGAACCAGTCATTTGGGGCTCTATGTCAAAGGGAGATATGAGCCCCCTGGACCCCCAGATTTTAACCCATTTCTGTGTCTCTTTATTTTTCATCCCCATCACCCCTTGGTCAGGTTCAAGCTCGTAGGCTGGTTCCTATAGTCTTTGGCTTTCTTTCACTGAGGCTAATATTTTCAAGGTTTATCAATATAGAACATGACCTAATGATATTCCCACGTATACCATTTATTTATATCCATTTATGAGTTGAGAACATCTGGATCATTTAAATTTTTAGATTCTTGTGAGTAATGCTGCTATGAGCACTTGAATAGATGTTTTTGTTCGTGCTTTTATTGTTTAACATTGGAATACTACACACCAATAGCAGTAAAACTTTTGTGTCCAAAGTTAAGAATGGCATGGGTATGGGCTTTTCCTTTCCTAAATCTTTGTCAGTAACAACTTTCCCTTCTTCTTGTTGGCCTTTGAGAGTAGTTCTGGTTTGCATGTAGCACACGGCCTTCATTCACACCAGGATCTAGTTCTAGCTACTTCCACAGATGAAATAGAACACCATAGAATAGATACCTGGCTAAGTATAGGGTTGCTCCATGCCCATATTCAGATGTATCACCCACTCAGGTTTTCACCAACACTTGTTTTAATTGGACTCAAAACATTTTTTTGTTTGATGGGTGTATTATAGGTTTTCATCACTATTTTAATATGCATTTTTGGTTAGGCTGAGTATTTTATATACACATATGCTGTGAATATCTTCTTTTAAACTTTTGCCTTTAAAATTTGGAAATAATGATCCAAATCTGTAAGTGACATCACTGTTGGGATAGCAGGTTCTTTTAAATTTTCTGTGTAATCTTTTTCACACACTTACGTAGACTAGGAAAAAAAAATCCATTTCCCAGGGGCTTTGGATGGATCCCCACATTTCCCCAGGAGCACTAGCTAGAATTCTGCCACAAAGAAAATGCTGAGAAGTCAGGGAAATCACCCACCCAATTCTCTGTTTTGAATGACCTATTTTCACAGTGAGAAACTGGTGTAAAAATCAATACAAAGCAAGCAAAGATGTATTTTCTTGAGAATTGCCAGTTGGTGGATTTTTTTTTACAGGTCTGATTTAATTTTTAATGTTTTCCTTCATCAATATTTCAAGATATTTTGATGTTGCATTTTTCACTACAAATTCTAACTGGTTATTGTTATTTGATAGAAAATCAACCCCCATCTCACCAACTTTTATTATTTACCAGATATTTATGTGCATTATCTCATTTAATTCCCAAGCCAACTCTATCATCCAGGTAGTTTTATTTTCCCCATTTTCTATGAACTATTTCAGTCATACAAAAATAAATGTACAGTAATATAATGGCTATCCATGCACACGGCAGCTATTTAGGAAGCAGTATATTGCACTGTGAATCTACTCTGGAATATCATTCACTTCACTGTCCACAGATGAGTACTCTTGAATTTGGTCATTTCCATGCAAGTTTGTGTGTATTCATGACATGGGCACAAAACCATAAAAATATATAATATTGCTTTTTCCACTATACTGTGTCTATCCATTTACACTTTAATTTATATTATGTTTTCATATTTGTTGTGTTGATATACATGTCTCTAGTTAATTTTTAAGCTGCTTTATAATATTCCTTTGTATACTGATATTGCATTTTATGTAAGTTACTGCAAATTACACTAATGTAAATATTTGTATACATTTTTGCCTATGTCTTTTCATACCCAACTACTGGGTTTTTACAATGAAGTACTAGGCTTGCTTGCAGTCAATATATGTACATCTTCAACTTTACTAGACAGTGAAAAGTTCCTACCTAAAAATAGCTAATTTACACTCCTCCAACAGTATGCTGTCTCCACGTCTACACATTTGTCAGTTCTTGGTACTCTTGGGATTGGCCTATGGCCAATATGATGAATATGAATGGATGACACATCTTTCAAAACGTGTCATCCCAATCTCTGCTGAGATGGCACATCTTTTCAAATGTTGAGTATGGATTTTTACATGTATTTTTTCCATCTATGAATTTTTTTTATCATTGCTCCCCCCCACCCCGTTGTATTGGGTTCTGCGTCTGTTCCTCGCAGTTTTCTAGTATTATCAAGATAAAAATCCAATTTTGTTTATATGCACTGAGAATACATTTGGATTTTCTTTTGACATTCAGCTGTTTGGAATTCTAAGAAAGCAAAATTTATAAGTTTTCTTTGAATTTTGTACTGTTGATTTCTACTTTCAGAAATTTTTGACCACAGAATTCTACAAGTATTTAATATATGTATTATTTTGTTTTAAAATTTTAATTTTAAATTTTCTATAATAAACTTTTTATCTCCCTGTATGGTACATTTGGTGAGACAAATAATAAAATATCAGTTTTACATCTGGTGATTGACTTTGGTGTTACTGTTTATTAAAGAATCCACTGATTTTATGATTGTCTGCTGAAGATTAAATATCTATTGTGGCCCCACTTCTTGTCTTGACTTTATTTTGTGTTTTGTTGATATTTTTGGGTGCAAAGTGTATACCAAAATAATTATTTGACTTCATACTATCATTTAATCAATCAGGAAAGAAGCCTTCACCTTTTCCAAAACTGTCTCAGCTTTCCTTGGCCATTTCGTCTACCTTAAGAATTTGTAGACTGAGCTTATAAATGACCATGAACAATACTTAGTTTCAATTTTTTTTTTTTGGTACCGGGGATCGAACTCGGGACCTTGCACTTGTGAGGCAGGCGCCAGAACCACTGAGCTAAGTCCCTGGCCCTCAGTTTCAATTTTAAATGGAATTTCATTGCATTGGTAGATTAATTTAGGAGTAATTAAAAACTTTAGATTAAATTTTTCTATTCATGGGAAACTTGTGTCTCAATGATTTTTATATTTTTTCATAGATATGCATTTATTTTCCGTTATCAACATTTTCAGGCTCTTCATATAAACTAAGTTATAAGCTAAACACAGTTTCTAGTCATTGGACACACCAGTAAAATATAAATAATGATCTCTGCACCGACAGTACAAATGATACAGTAATCGTTGAAAAACAGGAAGAGCGCCCCCGATGGATAATATCAGTTCGGATGTGTGTGCAACCAGAGTAAAAGATGCAGGGAGAAGGGTGAAAAGTACAGGCAAATGTTCCAATGAAGAACAGCAAAAACTGTACCAATTTTATGAAAGTCATATTTTACAGAGTCAGGATGGCTGGTGAACTGAAAACAGTAACAAAATGAAGAAAACATTTCTGGAAACCACCAATAAAAAGAAAATCTTGAGGGCCGGGGATTTAGCTCAGCGATTCTGCCTCTTGCCTCGAAAGCACAAGGTCGCGAGTTCAATCCCCTCTGCTTGGCAATGGTGAGGACCCTGTGGCAGATGGCATCACAATGGCAGGGAGCGATCACATGGTTGACAGGGCACCCTGCTGGCGGAGTACGCAGGATCAGACCTTGCCGTGCCGCTCGCTGCTGCCGGCGTGGGGAGTGGGCTCGGCCCGGCCGCTTGCTGCGGGGGAGCCGCTGCTCCGCCGTGGGAGCCCCATCTAGGCCGGTGCGGCGGGGACTTCGCGCTCCGGACGCGCGGGGGCGTGGGTCACCGCTGTTGCGGGCCGGGCGGGCCTGACCTTCCCGGGCGCAAAGTTTTGGAGGGGCCGGGCGGGCGGCGGGGGGGGGGGGGCGGCGGCCCCGACCCGTCCCGTCCCTTCCCCGCCCCCCCGCGCCAGTCGGTGGATTTTTATTTGTTGTTCACAAACAATCTCATTTTGCTTTGATGCACACTCGGTCCTCACTGTAGTCAGTGGTGCCTTTTGAGCTGGTTGCTTGTCCCCATCAGCATGTTCAACCTAGTAGGTCTGCTGTCCCAGGATAAGAGACATAGGTCTCCCCACCCTGAAGACACATGCCACAAGGAAAGAGGCCTGGAACCAGGGCTTGGGCTCTCAGAAGCTGCTCCAGTACTTGAGATACCCCAGAGAAAACAAGGCTGGAGTCTGACCTGGAAGCAGCATGCCAGGCTCAGGGAGCTCACTGAGCAGCTGGGCACAGCCCACAGCATTGTCCCAAGAGCAGACACTTAGACAGCTCTGATCGTTTCAATGTTGACTTATTATATGTTAAATGGTTCCAAAATTATTACTTTAAGCTCTTACAGAGATGTTGACTTGATATTTTAATAAAAATAATATTTCTACAGAAGGTAGAATGTTAACATTTGTCCTGCTGAATTTTGTCCTTGCTTTGGCCCCGTTCATTTCTAACCCCTATTTCTGTCTTTTGGAATGGGAATGTTTACCCTGTGCCATTGTGTGCTAGAACTGTTTAACTTTCTTTTCATTTGTACAGGGAGACCTTGTACAGGTTTGCCTTAAATCTCAGAGGAGTCTTTGAACTTGGACTTATCAGAAATGCTGAAACTGTTAGGATTTTGGCAGCTCTTAGAAATGGACTAAGAAATGCATTTTAGATAAAGGGATGTGCATAAGTCTTTTGAGGACCAGAGGTGGAATGTTATGGTTTATATCTAAATGTCCCCCAAAGCCTCATGCACTCATAGGTGGGGTGGGAGGTGATCAGATTATGGGGATGTGATACTCATCAGTGGATTAGCCCACTGAGCTAAATGGCTAAATGTGATATTGGAAAGTGACGCCCGGTTGGAGAAGGTGGGTCACTGGTCATGTGGCCTTAAAGGGTAAATCTCCCTTCCTCCTCCCTTGATTTCTTTCTGTGCTTCTGTAGAGATCCTGTTGTGCCTCTGCAGCCATGAGAGTGCTGTGTACATCTTTAATTGCTGGCTGTAGCAAGTACACCCTTGGCCTCAGTGGTCATGGCCCCTCTGTGCCACAGCACAGTGTGAGTACAGACATGATTCTCCAGAGGCTTCTGGGATTATGGACTAACTCAACCTTTGTGGAATGATGAAAATTTAAAATGACTTGATTGTGAAAGTGTCTCATTTAGTCCAAACAAAATAAGAGATTTACACTATAAATCAACTCAAAGCAGTCACTCCATAGCCATTCCCATTGCAGCTGGTGCAGCAGGATGGAGGCTGACACATGTGAGGCTACCGGGGTTCGCTCCAGTTGGTTCTTTCCCAGACTCTTGGCTTTCTTCTTCTCTCCCACCTTCCCCTCTTCCTCCAGGGTCACCAGAGTCTCAACTTTCTAGCTGATGATAATGTGAACATTTTTATCACATGGGAAAGGACAAAAAGGTTGTGCCACAACACTTACCTACTTCGCCTTCATGGCACAAGGGAGTGGGTCAGAGTGCTCCTTTCTAGGCCCAGAATGGTATGGCCATTAGCACTTATGCACTTCACTGCTCTACAGGAGTCCCTGAGTTTCCCAACTGGCCCAGTCTTCATAGTACCAGATTCCCCATAGCAGGGACCTAGGGGATCCAAAGCCCCAGGCCTGGATACAAGCACCAGAGGGAGGGACTCAGAGTGCAGCAGGTAAGGACGCCAGCTGAGCTTTCCACAGAGTATGAGGGTACAGGAAGGAAGGTACCATAACACGTGGCCAGACACAGCATGGGGAGGCTGCTACAGTCAAGTACCAGAGTAGGCAGCATGGCCTGGCTGCACAGCTGGAGGCCAGGGATCTGGCCTGAGCCATGGCTTCTTTAGGACAGAGAGATAAGGACTAAGGCCTGGGACCTCTCTGACACATAAACTAAAGAATGGGAGAGAGGTGAGAAGGCTCAGCATGCATATCTGCTAGGGGCTTGCTTTTAAAATGAATGAAGCTGCACATAGTGGTGTATGCCTATACGCCCAGCTACTTGGGAGGCTGAAACAAGAGGATCATTTGAGCCTAGGAATTAGAGACCACATAGCCAGATCTTATCTCAATTAGAATGGGAAGGAGAGGATGAGGGGAAGAAGAAAGGAGGAAAAGGAAGAGAAGGAAGAGGAAGAGAAAGAGGAGAAAAAGAAGAAAGGGTGGAGGAATGAAAAGGGAGAGGAAGGGGAAGACCCCACCAATTAATTTGAACTAAATGGAATTGGAATTAATCTATATTCTTGGTAAATCTGCAAAATCACTAGCTTGATGAATACACTGGGAACCATGAAGACAGTTGCTTCTCAGAAGCATAATTGATTTAAAAGGTCAGTGACAATCTCCAGGTTAGAATCCAAACTTTCCTACCAGGCTGGATCCTGTTCCAAGGTCCTCTGGACTGACCCAGAACCTGCCCCAACCATTGCAAATACATGCTGCATTTGCAGGCCTCAGATGTGCTCCCAGAAGATGGGTGAGTTCCCAGGCTCACCCTAAACAGCATCTGCTGAGCGTCCTGCAGCCAGAGGGAGGGGAAGCAGCTGACAGCCTAAAATGTGGTAGCCTGGTCCTCTCCCCCTAGTTCCCCAGGGGCTCTGCTCCTGACCACCAGGCTTCCCACTAGACTCAGGGCTGCTCAGTATCTCTGGAACCTGGAACCATCAAATGTCAGATCAAAAAGCAGGTGGCCTGCTCCAGAGGAACATTCTCACTGGGCTTTTCTCCATGTTGCCAAGTGTTTAGAGAGGGAGATGCAGACACTCCACAGAGACCACACAGGCAGGTGCCAGGGGAGTGCAGGATCCTGGAGACACATGCAGCAAGCTCCAGGGAGAAACATGCAGCAAGCTCCAGGGAGAAACAGAGGAACCAGAATTATACCTAGAATCACATACTTACACATGTAGGAAGAGGATGTGTCATGCAGTATTGTGAAATGTTTCTCAGATGTCTTGTGCAACACAACTGTGCTGGATACCACAGTAATGAGAAGTATCTCTGGGATTAGAGCTGGAATGTGAAGAGAAATAAGAAGTGAATGCTCAGCCTACCAATATTTGACTCAGGCCTGAGGCTATTGCTTCCATGCTATGGAAGCATAAAGATTTGGTGAGTCAGTAGAGTTTGTGCTCTTTTCTAAGAGCTTCCTCTTCTCAAATCCACTGTAACTGCAAGAGTGTTTGCTTTGACCTCAGCTCGTGGCCTTCCTCTTCAAGCACCTTGTGTTTTGACAGCACAGGTCAAAAACTGAAAAATCCCTCCAGTGGTGACACTGTTCCATACAAGAGTGGGTGTTAGTGCTCAGGTTGTTCTACACCAAGACTGACCCTTGGTCCCAAGAGACAGGGGCACCAGGGCCTGTTCAGGGCACTGCCGTATTTGGGGTATAAAGTGAGATGGGCTGTTAGGGCTCAGTCCCAGGGGTCTCCTGCCTGGGTCCAAAGGAGATATTGGGGCAGTTCACAAATAAATGGAACACTACATTAGTACTCATTATGCCAAGGACATTCTTTGTTTAACCTGGTTCTATCTCTAAGTGATACTTTAGTTTCTAGTGAATTTTTGTGTCCAATATAATAAATCACATCTCTGTAGTATTAAATTGATGCTTTTTAAAAAGTAGGATCTACATAAGAACAATTGAGGAATTGCTAATAAGGAGAACAACAAACCTGGGTCCTGTGCATTAGCAAGCAGTGGGTGTGGGTTGTTGAAAGGGGGTGATGATGGTGAGGAAGGTATAGGATTTCCTGATGTGCCACATACAATAGAGCTGTTGTTATTCTTGTTGTCATTTCCTGTTACTCTTACTCCACAAATTAGGGCAAACCACAAAGTCAGCCACACCTCTTGAACTTGAATTGTCCCTGTGGAATAAAAATTTGTCATACTATGGTTATAATGATCAGTATTGGTCCTGTTCTATATGAATTTTTCATCTGTATGAAATGAACAAAGAGTTGAGGAGGAAAGTTCTTCAAGAAGAATTTCAGTTAATAAATTAGATGGAAGGATAATACTACCTGAACATCTGATCCATCTTCACTAAAAGTTGAACAAGATGCTCATTGTTATGTGATCCAATGAAAGAATCTAGCACTCCTATGAAGTGTGCTTGTTTATAAATTGAACCTGAACCTAACCAAGCTTTCAGATTTAGCCATCATTTTATAGGAAAAGCTAGGGCCAGACAATATATTCACAATAGAATAAGGATGCAATGGACCAAATCTAGAATTTAAAAATTTCTATATAAGAATGGCCTGATTTCTATACCAAATAGAGGACATGAATAAAATAAGTAGGAAGAGGTTTATAAAGATGACAGCAGGATTAAAATGCATTATCAACCAAATGCACCATTGGAACTAGCTAGAATCATGATGCAAAGATAAACCACATTAATTGACATTTTGACACAATAGAGAAAGTTGAATGTGAGTATGTGTGGATGAGCCTTGAACATTATGGTGAGTGAATAATCCAGACACAGAAACACAAATACAGTATGATTCCACTTATCTGAGGTACTTAAGAGACCTTGAGTCAATAAATAGAGACCCAATCGCTGACCCTTCCTCTGACCACCGGAGCACCTGCCCCAACCCCTAATCCATCCCTACCTAAATCCCTGATTTCAAACCTGAACCTTAAACCTAACCTGAAAACACTAGTATTGGCCATAAAAACCCAACCTCTAACCATAACCTCAACCTAATCTCAATGTGTGGTGCATGTAGTTTTCTTGCTAAGTGGATATGCTATTACTTCCTATGCTCATATAGTTCAAAAAATGCTGTGTTGATAAAGGTATAGCAATTATACTACTTTGTTTAGAGACTTGGAGTACTTATATTACTGAATAGAGTGATTTATGTGTGAAACTGTGTTGGATAGTATCTGGGCCACATTCTGTTTACTCACAGATGTTGAAACGTTGTGTTCAACATATCTAAGTGTGCACCTTACTGAGAACAGTGATATACGTGTGAAACTTGTTTTTAGCAATGTGTGCTACATATAGCACATTGTTCAGTGATGTCTATTCAAATTCTATCAAAACCTGTTTTACTGAATATTGTAAGAAAGGGAAAAAGTATTGTCTTTAGAAGAGTGCTCTGTATACCTGCACATACTTATTTAATGATATATGTTGAGACCACTTAACAGAAGCATGTGGCTGGGTTACTAATAGTTACATATGTGTAAAGCAGTGTTCAGGAGGGTGAGGATCTACAAGACTTTGTTGAGTCATATATATCAAAACACTAGAGATATGTGTGTATGTTACTGGGTATGGAGATACATATGTGAAGAATTGTGTTATTATTATTGTTATTATTATTATTATTTTGGTACTGGTGATTGAACTCAGGACCTTGTACTTGCTAGGCAGGAACGGTGCCACTGAGCTACATCCCCGGCCCGAGAATTGCGTTATTATATGGCACATACACCATATTTGTTAGGTATATATGTTAAAATTAGGTTAAGAGTAAGGTGTGTGTGTTATTAGGCATAGTCATATATGGGAAAAATACCTCATTTTACATGTATGCTGCACATAATATTTTTAAAGACATATGTGTGGTACAGGTGATGCTGAGCACAAGGACAGATGGATAAACACTGCATTAGCAGTGTGTGCCTTTACCAGGTATGATAAAAAAATGTGTAGAATGCTGCTGCTGTCATTCAAGGAAAAGGACACTTGTCAAAACATTAGAGTGTGACCTCATCCACCTTATTCACCAGGTCTGGCACCATGGGACTTCTAGTTCTTCCCAAAAGTCAAAATGACCATGAAGTGAAATGTTTTAAATCAATTCAGGACACTGAGGCCACCATGACAGTGCAACTAAAGACACAAGAGACTTACAGAATTGCTTCAGAAAGTGGCAAGAATGATGGGATGAGTTTGTTCAAAGCGAGGGAAAGTGGTTTGTTTTTTTTTTCTTTTTTTGGTACCGGGGATTGAACTTGGGTCCTTGCACTTGCACACCAGGCAGCGAAACCACTGAGCTAAATCCCTGGCCCAGAGGAAAGTGTTTTGAGGAGAATTAATGACATGTGTCTTTTAGTGTAAGAAATTTGTTCAATGTAAATATTCACTGTATGTTTCAATCACACCCTGTATGTTCAGACTCTTGTGCTTAATAGAAGTGAGTGCACATATCACTTAGGTGCGAAATGCTATTCTTTAGTGATACATGTTGAAGGTCTGTTCAACTGAGCTACAGACATAAGTGAATCAGTCCAGTGACAACTTGTGCTATATCATAATCAGCAGTGTATAAAGTCCATACTGCTTTCTTTAGTGATTTTTAAAAAATGAAGAGTAAGTTGTATAAATGATTCACTGTGCTGATAACTGTAAAACACTGTATAGTGTGTTAATTACCTTAGTGATACACATCAAAACTATATTTAACAGGCATCACGTGTAATTGAATCAGTATATTGACAACTGTGTGAGACATTGTATTTAACAATGTGTTGTGGATGAAATGTTTTCTCTAGTGAAATATGTAGAAATTCTGTATAAATGAATTCATATAATATAACTGTGCAAAATCCTGTGTTCAGTGCTATGTGGTATATAAACTATTTTTATAATGACATATGTTGACACCATGTTTAATAGAGCTGGAAATAAATATATGAATCAATCCAGGTAATGAGAACCTTGCAAAGCATTGTTAGGATGAGTGAACTACTTTCTCTGGTGAGTTATGTTAAAGTTATGATGTTAACAGTATGTTAAAAGCATGATAAAGTGACCTAGATGCATGAGTGAATAATATTATTATGCTGACTGTGAAACTTGTATTTTACAATATAGTACTGTACATGCATTCATTTCTTTTGTGACATATAAAGAATTTCTGCTTAATACAGGTTGAGTCATTCAGCCTATTGCCATCTGGGAGAAACAGTGTCATTAGCATTTTGTGGTGAAAGAACAGATTTCTCTAGTGGCAAATTTTGAAATTCATTGTTTAACAGATCTAAGTGATTAGTAAAATGATTTAGTAAAATATTTTCCCCTGAGAGAGACCATGCTCGGCACTATGTAGTACATATATCGTCTTCTTTTCAGACATACAGTGAAGTTCTATTTTCACAGATATAAATATGCAAATGGTACATTTACTAACAAGTGTGTGGTGACAGTGTGCGGAGCTCATACTACTTTCCGAGTGACATGTATTTGACATTGTTAAGATCATATAGGATGAAACTTTCTTTAACAGACCCATGTGCATGATGGATACAGTGCAGTGATATAAATTTACTTACATTTTCCTTCCACTCTGTAGTCTTTGGCTGGTGTTTCCCATGATCTAGTCCTCACCAGAAGTCAGAGGCCCAGGGACTATGTGGATATTGTACTTAACACATGTGAAGCCCAGGTTTCAAACCCCAACATTAAAAAGGAGAAAAACAACATAGTTTGCAGCATTGGCAAGGCTGCTTATCTCATTATTTTTTAAAAATGGAATAACTCTTATATGACAGTGACCAGGTGGCTAAAGGTTGAATTTAAGTAGACTCTCAGTTCGCTATCTATTTTTGCATTGTTATATTCTCAGTGGTAAACTAATGAAAGATTAGCATAACCTATACATACAGGGTGAGTGGGAACTCACACCCCTCAGAAATGCAGAGTTGGTTCTTAAATTAAAAAAAGAAAATCACATGCATGTAAGTGCTGACCAGAGGCAAGGGGGTTAACCTGCATTGAACAGATGAAAAGAAAAGCTAAGATATATCTAGTGCTCTAGAGTCAACTGCTGATCAAAGGCTTTATTCATGTGTATAACAATTTGCTACTAAAATCATTGAAGGTGAATAATTACCCTTTCACCATTCTCTTCCTTCCATTGCTTTTTCCATTCTTTCCACTATTTATTTATTTCCATTGGTGAAAATCAGACTTACATTTAGTTTACAGGTAACAGTGTCCATCAAATAGGACTGACAGAAGAAGAATGTCATCTGGAGAGCCAGAATATTGACAAGTGGCCTCAAGGTATTGCCAATGGGATTGGGGAAACCTTATGGGTATGTGTGGGACTCTGAGATAATACTGGATGGAGAAATTCGATTTATGGGGAAAAAAGGTGTCTGTGCATACTTGTGATGCACTCTGGACATCCAAAGAGTAGAATGGAGTAAGTACTTCACTTATCAGGATGACTTCCTGGCTACAACATTCCCTTCCCCCTGGGGGCAGGTATGCCTTAACATTTCAAATAGTGAAGCCTTGACCAAAGCTTTAGAT